TAGCTGTTAGGAGAGCAAGTTCACCAGCAAGTCCTGCATTGCTGAACGATGAATAGGTTATACCATCACTGGCAGTGGCGGTGACTTTGCTTGTTTTCCTGGCCCTTCTGATTTCTTCTATAGTAAACAGACAGGCTGTAGTGTCAGTTTGTTCAATTGCATGTCTGACTACTACTTCTCTCTCCACTTGTACTTGCTGTAGATGAAATCTAATTTCAAGAGGTAGTTAAGCTGATGGCGAGTGTTCTGCAAAGTGCTCTGCCAAGTGACTTGTTTCCTGTAGTGGCTGGGGGTGGGCTGGAGCTATGGGCAGTTTTCCTATTGCTATCTAGAGTTTTTTCCAGAGTTCACTGAGGTTGGTGTGTGCATTACAAGTTGCACACCACTCGAGACATTTGTCCTCCCTAATTTTCTGAGTAATTTGACGAGCATGTTGGACAGCAGCTCTCAAGAATTTCACTCCCTCAGGGGAAGGGCACTGTCGGAGATGTCTTCCAAATGTATTGATTCTGTGATTCTGTTCTCTGACCTCGTCATTGTAGAACCAGTAGTCTTTGTGGTGTCTATTTGAAGGTTTTATTTTTGGTATTGCTTCCTCTGCTGCGTGTTGTATGGCATCAGTAAGGTCCTGGTTTAGTTGGTCAATATCTTCTGCTGGTTCATAGTTCGAATACAATTTTTGGAGTTCATCATGTATAATTTCCAATTTGCTTTCTTGGAATTCCATCTGGGTGGCGGACGTGGGGGAGGAGGGAGTACCTCCATTCACAAAGTAGTTGTTGTTGCAAAGTGGACACTGGTCATTTCATCATCCACCTCCCACTGAGCTACTGAAACGAGCTCAGTGGAGATGAATGTGAGGTCCAATCTTCCTCCCAGTATGTGTGTTAGTTCCCCCAGTATTAATGAGCGTTATTTCTGGAACATCTGTCAGCAGTTCCACTAGGTGGTGACCATCCTGGTTCATTGTTGTGGTCGGATTGATGGTTGGTTGTTGGGCATTGAAGTCCCCAGCAATTAGCACAAGTTCCTGTGTTGCTTGTGTCAGTAGTTCACCGGCATCTAGTCTTTTGGGTGGAGATTTATAGATGTTTAGTACAAGACTGTCGTTTGCCAGGTGTATCCGAACAGCTTGTGCCTCTACTCCATATCCAGAGTGAACTAGTTCTACTTCTGAACTGGGGATGGTCACCCTGATGAGAATCATGCTGCCAAGGGAGTTGGGCCCCTTTGGTATCCAGGCAAGCGGAAATGTCATCTTTTGTTTGCTTACGGTCTGTGCTTCTTGTTCTGTTCCTCGTGATCTGTTGGAAGGGGCTTGAGGTTTCACGGTTTTGAGTGATCTCTCGGATGGCAAGTTCTTCTTCTTGTCTGATATCTGACTGAAGATTGTCTGTTCCACGTGTAATTGTGGAGTTTTGGGGGTCTGGTCTTCCTGCATCTTTTCTGTGAGCTGTGTCATAACTGCATTTATTATATTTTCGGTGCTGGCATCTTGTTTCTTTATTATAGTAGAGACAGTCACTATCATAATGGTGATCATCTGCTTTATTTGTTCTTCTGTAAATACCACTTGTAGTTTGGCAGACTGGGGTGTGTTCAGTTGGGTGGTCGCGTGAAGAGGTTGTACTGTCCCAGGCAATATGGTGTTCTCCACCTGTACTGGAGTGTTCTGTGCTTTTACTGCTATACAGTTCTGGAACTGCTGTTGTGGAGTCCACTGATTTGTCATGGTTTCCTGCATGGACTGATTTTGTCCCGGTGTCTTAAATCTTGTCCTGTAGCCTGGTGGGGGAAGTGCAGGGAAGGAATCGTCTGACAGTTGTGGCGGGGTGGGTGTTGAATTGGTTGTTTTCTGTTGTTGTTGACCCCACACGAATGTGTTCTGTGGTGCTTCTGTTATGTTTTGTGGTTGAATTTTTGCCATTGCAACTTTCATCCGCTCTCTCCTCTCTGGGCATGATGTGCTCCAAGCGTGATGTTTCTTTCCACAATTTGGGTACTTCACTGTCGTGGTGGTTTCTTCCTTGTGTTTTTAAATTCACATTTCTGTCTTGTGGCTTAGACTGCAGATGCCACATCTCACTTCTTTGTGGTACCTGGATTGGTGATGTCCGAATTTTTGGCATTTGTAGGATTGTAGTGGTTCTGGGACAAAAGGTCGCAACTTGTAAATCCCACAGTTGCCTAGGTCTACCTCCTCTGGGACTGTCCCTTTGATGTCCACTAGCATTTGCCTTGTATGTGATTTGTCCTGACTCGTAACACAACGCTCTGCCTTGGTCACTTTTGGATGTTTTATGATGACTTCTTCATGTAGTTCCAGAGGATATCGTAGTAGGACCATTCTGGTTGTTTTCTCCTCGGGGATTTATGGTATTATCTAGCCCGTCTTCCTGTTGAGGTTGGTGATCTCGTTGTGGATCTTGCCTGTGTTGTGGCCTTGGGGGGAAAGTATCAGGTCTCCCACTAGATTGGGCTTCACACTGAACTTGAAGTTCTTGTATTCTAGTTCCAGTGCTACCACTAACTCGTATGCATGGTTGAATTCGGTTTCTTTGGGAATCTTGTACTTCATCACAGTCGGAATTGCGAAGGTGGGTGGTTCTTCCTCGGGATGGATTGCTGGGGACTTATTGTCTATGTCGGAGATGTTGTTTTCCTTCTGAGGCCTCTTGTGGCATTTTCCTTCCATCGGTTACGTCTCTCTCGCTCGTGTTTATATCAATAAATTGACAATGAAGGGTCACTACACCTAACTAGTTCCTTAGGACCAGTGCGGTAGCCAGTCCCCCTTCCCCCTCCAGCGTTGGTCGTAGGTTGGTGGCTCTGGTTTTGCTACAGGACCCCCCAAAAAGGGGGAACCTACTCACCCTACCAGCTAAACTCACCGGCCCAGCTGACACCCCTCTAGGGGGCCCGTTTGTGGCCTGTCCTACCAACAGTTCCCGTAGGGTTCGTTAATCCTGGGGGAATCGGTGAGGGCACTAAAAAATGTGAGCATAAAACACAGAAACAAGGAAGTCATTTCAAAAGAGACGAAATATCCACGTCAAAGTGAGAGTGGCGTGTGTGGCGACAGTAATTATAGCCAGGCGCCGACGCGAGCTAGTGGAAGCACGTGGGTCGGGAGTAACTGCGACATGCGTCTTCTCATCTCACTGCTCAGCTGACTTTCACTTCCTAGGCTTAGCTTGTTTCGGGATTACTGGCCACTTTGCCTTTCGGCTATTTCGGCCGAAGCTGGTTTTTTTTGCTGAATCGTTTTCTTTCGAGTTCCTTCTTTTTTCTTTTGCTCTACAATTTCCATTCTTCTTCTTGGTCTTGTTCTGGTATATTCTCGTTAAAGTCTGAAAACGCTGATCTTCTTAACGTTTCTGAATCTGGCCTGTATGTCTTTTCTTCGGTCTTGTTTGATTCTGGCTTCTTTTCTGTGGTCTTCTTGGGGCGTCTTGATTTTTTCTTTTCTGTGGTCTTGTTGGGGTCTTGATTCTTCTATTCTTCGGTCTTTACTACAAGGAGAGCCTCCTTGTAGCTCAGTTTTTTCTTGCTTCGCAGCTTAGCCACCCTACACTTTTCCCTCCACCTGGGACATTCCCGGTCGGAGGAAGAGTGAGGGCCACCACAAGCTGCGCATTTCTCGGCGGTCGCCGAGCAGTTGGTGTGCTGGTGTCCGTGTGTCCCGCAACTGCAACAGACTTCCCGAGCTCGACACTTCCCTGCCAGATGGTCATACCTCTGGCATTTATAGCACTTTGTTGGTCTTCTTTCCGACGGTTTTACTGGGATGTTCTCTCATCCCAGCAATTCGGTGCTTGGTAGATTCTTTGGGTAACCAACCAGTGCAGTTACGCTAGTCAGCTTCCGTACTATTGAGAGCTGGTCTCGGATCAGCTCGGTCAGTTCTTCTTTTTCAAAGTGTTCTATCTTGGTGTGGGAGATGACTCCCAACACCAAGTTATCCTCTGTGTGCGCTTTCACTAGTATCTTGATCCCGTTAATTTTTGTTATGTTGGCTATTTGCTGGGCCTGTTCCCATTCCGCGAAGGTGACGATTAGGCCACCACTCACTGGTCTGCGGACGACCCTTGTCACCCCCCCTGATTCTTAAGGAGTCAAAAAGCTTCCGTAGGACAAGGAGGTTTAGCTGCTTGCGCGAAGGGCATGTGACTGGATACAGTTCTTACGACCTTCGCCTGGTCACAGGTCAGCCTCATCGCCAGGTTCACGTAGTACCTCGGGAGCATAGAAGATCTTGCCTCGCCGAGGTGCAGTTCTGAGTCTCCTTCCTAGGTAGCTCGTGGGTATTTCTTCCTAGGCAGCTCGTGGGTGTCTATATATGTCTCGTCTGACGCCTAGAGCATTCTAGTGACATCCAGGTGTTGCACGTCGGAACGAGATAGATATGCCCGGTAGAGTTCTAGAATGATCTAAACTTGCCAAAATAACTGCTGCTTGGGACAGAAAATATTGAAAACACCTAGCTCACAAAAATTATAATACCAAATTATGCCTCAGCATAACAATATGATGTGTAGAAATCACAATATGAAATGTTCGATTTTGTGCTAATTTTTTTTTAGGTAACTGGTGAATCTATATATTTTGAAATGTAAAATACTGGATCATCTGTACGACTTCAGCAGAGAGAATAGTGGCACTGATAATTTACCAGTTTTACTGTGAGGAGCGAAATGTTAAACCAAATATCTTGTTTTCCTTTGGGTAAATATATTATGCATTTCCTGAGCAACACCTATTATGTGGTGGTAACATCACAAAGTAAGAGAATTGAATTGAATTAATATTAAGTCTAACATTTTTAGTCATACGCAAGACGCACCAGTGTCTTTTGAGTCAACGAGGTGGCATTTACCCAGATTAGAAGCCAGGATACGGGAGGAAAATATGTTTAGTATATGAATATTACGACAATGTAGAAACAAATATTTTTTGTCTCGTGTCCCATAAATACTTTACAGAACATCATTTTTTTGCAGATGGAGATTCGGGACGCAGGTAATTGTGATTCTCCACGACTTCCAGCTGAACAAAGACGCTTTTACCAGTCAGGACTTCGTCGACAGACCTTCCTGGAAATTTTTTCAGTATGGGGAAGAAACTGCCAACGGTAAGTCAATCGGTTCCATTCGATCTCCGAGTCTTCTGGGTTGACGGAGAAGCCGTGGTTGTTCTAGACCCAGTTGGAAAATGAAATTTAACTGGAGAGGAAAACTGTGTGCTGCCTTTAAGTGAAGAAAGAAACTGTGCTGCTAACTTTAAGTAGAGAAGGAAACTGTGCTGTTGCCTTTAACTGGAGAGGCAAACTGTGCTGCTGCCATGAAGTGGAGAGCGAAATTTAGATGGTTTATATTCGGGTAATAGAAATGAGAAACGGGAAATATTAATTGACTTTTGTGAGGGAACAAGATGATAATTGTATATACATGGTTTTAACAACACCCTAGGCATATCTATACATGGGTTTCACCACAAGACAATGTAAACATTTAGTCAGGACTTAAATAGATTACATTTTAATTCGGGAACGACTCAGAAATTCAATAAGCCAAGCCAATACCTATCCAACGGCAGACTGTGGGTCATATCACGCCTTTGTAATGAATTTAGTGAGGCCACAGTTTCAAAAATTGAAAAAAAAAACTACGGATAAAAACAAAAGGGAGTTAGGCAAACTAAAATCCTGGGCAGGGATAGAATATGTTATTGAAACCGAAAATATATATTTTTCGCTAGATGATGAATTTTATAAGCAAGGACCATCACAACAATTTAATAATTATAAAAAAATAATGTTAGAGACTGGGGAAAAAGTTATAGGACATAGGGGAAAAGAAGCTAAAAGTGAGTGGATGACAAATTAAATTTTAAAGAAAATAGATAAAGGTAGACAAATAAAGATGATAAGAGGAAGTGAGGCTTACAAAGAACTTAACAAAGAAATTAAAAAAAAAATAATGTAGATAGACTCGGCAATACTATATAGAAAAGAAATGCAAGAGATCGAAGAGGATGACAGAAGGCTTAACCATTTGGAATTTTACAGAAAGATTAAACATATGAACCCCCCAAAAACAAAAGACAAATGAGCAGAGTATGTAGAAGAACTATACAATGATAAGGATAGAGTAGAGGTAAGAAAAGAAAAGTAAATAAAGATCGAACTACCATTTCTGGAATCAGAATTTAAGGCAGCTGTGAGCAAAATTAAAATTGATAAAACTTAAGGGGTTGATCAGCTTCCAGCAGAATTGAAAAAAAAAACCAAATGGGCAAGAATGAAATAAAACGTTTGACTAAAATATGTAATTTTATATACCAAAGAGGAGACCTTTCCAGTGATTTAAAAAAAAGATCAATATTTGTATTGTTACCTATAAAGCCAGGAGCCTTAGAGTTCACCCAGTTTAGAATAAGCTTAATAAGTCATGGCTACAAAGTTATATTGAAGGTAATTTTAAATAGATTTTTTTTAATAGAAAGTGAGTTATATGAAGAGCAAAACAGATTTGGAAAGGAAAAAAGAACTAGAAAAACTATATTTGGTTTGAGAATTTTGAGTGAAGGGGCTTAGTGATCCACGATTTTTTTGTATCTGCTTTGTTGATTTTGAAATAGCTTTTGATAAAGCAAATAACAATAGTCATTAATGAAGGATTTTAGAATTTTAAAGAATCTTTACTGGTATCAGGAAGCTGCAGTGTTAGTAAATAATGAACTAACAAATTGGTTCACAGTTAAACAGGGAGTAAGGCAAGGCTGTGTTCTATCTCCGATATTGTATAATGCATATTTAGAAATCTTAATGAGAGAAGTCATAAGTGAAAAGGTATTACAAAAACTGGTTAATAGATGAGTGGGAAAAGTTGAAAAATATGAGTTAAGAGTTAATGTTGTAAAGATGAAAGTAATGGTTGTTTCCAAATTGGAAATAAATAAAACAAATAAAAATTATGATAAGCAACAGGGAACTTAAGAAGTGAAAAATTTTGTGTATTTGGAAAGTGACATTAGCTTTTTACTCTTATTTTTTTGCCCCTTAGGCACCGTTGTGGGTCGATGACCTGTGCCAGGGTGGGTTAATCCCCGTAAAAAAAAAAAAAATCTGTGCTTGTTGATATACAGAAAAAATCAAAACATGAATGGGGCAGGCAAAAACAACAATTAATAATTCCGAAAACTTAATGAAAAGGGACATAACATTAATTTGAGAAAAAGGCTGCTGAAAGGCTTCATGTGGCAAGGACTGATGTATGGATCAGAAGCGTGGACACTTTCAGCAGACACCAGCAAAAGGTTGGAGGTCTTTGTAATGTGGTGTCATAGGCGAATGCTAAGAATGGGCTACACTGACAGCAAAACAAATAAAGACTCTTTGAGATACTTTAAATGTACAGAAAACTGAAAATTATATACTTTGGTTACATAATTAGGGATGGGGGATACTAACAGAAATATTAATTAGCAAAGTTGAGGGTAGGAGGGCCAGGGGAAGTCCGAGGCTGGGATGGATGATTGAAATAAAAAACAGGGTCCTTACAGAGATACAAAACCTTGGAGGATTGGAAAAAAACAGCCCGAGAACGTATAGAGTGGTGGACTGTGGTTACCAACCCTCAGATATGAGGACGGTACTCTGGTTGATTGAATGACATTTCATCTTCCTTCTTTATTGTAAGAAATTAAAATTTCATTATCATTCCTTTCGAGTAATTTATAGGCTACAGGATTTGTAACACATCTCAATACACCTACAATATTATTTATATTCTTGATTTAAATATTTCAATTTTTACACAAGGTTAAAATCAAACTATCCAAAGCAATTTATAATTTCTCAGGACAAATATACTACCTTGCTTTCAGCTATAAATATATACATATTTTTAATTTTTATTGGGGTAAATGTTGAGTTTTTATTTCATTATTTAGCTGAACTTAATTTTTTTTCCTGGGACGACTTTTCATAGTTTCAAACAGTCAATATAAATTTTGAAATTTTGTCTTTCTGAATATGATTTACGTCTACCTATGGCCTTACAATAACACTAGTTGCTACAGTCACCATGTGAATGGTTAGCCTATGTCACCTTAGTCACCATCACTCGTGGAACACATTATCTTGTTGCACTATTGTAGTATCTTGCGATATTTAATGGGAGAATGACAAGCACATGTTCGGTCTGGCTGGGCGTTTATTCTCTGTTCTTGGTTACAAGGTGCCTAACACATTTCGTGTTTACACAAGCCTAAACACTTTCTGACTTTGGTAAGAAGTAACATAATATATAATATATATATTCAATAAAGGCAGCATATAAACATACATATATATATATATATATATATATATATATATATATATATATATATATATATATATATATATATATATATATATATATATATATATATATTCACTATTTCACTCCCTTTCAAAAGAGAGCATGGCTGCTACAAATCCTAAATAAACAAAACGTACAGAATTACATATGGCAGGGAAGAAGGGAATAGAACACAACAAATATAACTTCCTAACTAAACAGTTTTGAAAGGCCTGTTCACAATTCAGATAATTAGAGGTCTAATTTAATTACAGGTCTCCTAACTCTGTTTGATCTTCTAGGACTATTCCCTCCATCAAGTTTTAAAGGGGTTTCACTTGCACTCTGTGCATTATCAGTGACAGACATATCATCACTACAATCAGTTGACACAGTGAGTGGATGCTGGGAAACATCATCTTTGACATCATCATGATGATCATCATCTGAAACTGTGTCAAGTTTATCATCATGTCCTGGTGCTACATTCATCTCGTCATGTGCCTGAATGATGTGATCCATATGAACATATCTCAAAGAGTTACCACATTTCACTAAATATGTCATAGATCCACATACCTTGTCAATGACACCAGTTATCCACTTTGCATGTACAGTACCATAACCTTTAGCCATGTTCCTAACTCTCACCCTATCATTTACCTTGAACACTCTTTCCCTGGAACTCTTATCATGATACATCTTTTGTTGAGCTTGTTTTCTCTCTACAACTTCAAACAGACTTGGCTTAACTAAACTTAATCTTGTTCTCAACTGTCTCTTCACCATTAACTCTGCAGGAGTACATCCTGTCACACTATGTGGCGTGGTTCTGTATCTGAGTAAGAAATTTGCTAGTCTGTGTTTCATTGATTTTCCTACAGTTCCTTGAATTACCAGCTTGGAAAGTGCTTCCTTTACAATTCTAACTGATCTCTCAGCTGCACCATTAGAGGCAGGATGATAGGGTGGGGTCAGTACATGCTTTACACCGTTGAATCTCATGAAGTTTTTAAACTCTGATGATTGGAATGGAGGACCATTGTCAGAAACTACCTCTTCTGGTATTCTATGTTCGGCAAATATTAATCTTAATTCATCAATGGTGCTACCAGCATTAGTACTGTACATGTGCTTAACATCAATCCACTTTGAATGACTATCAATTAATACAAGAAATTTGTCTGTTCCCTTATCACAGAAGTCAATGTGTACTCTTTGGAAGGGACGGGTAGGCCATTTCCAGGTTTTCAAAGGTGTGCTGGGTGGCATACTCCTAACATTCTGACAAACAGAGCACTAACGTACTATCATTTCTATTTCACCATCCAGTTTAGGCCACAAACTTCTGGCCAGTGCTTTCATGGCACATATACCTGGATGTTCAAAATGCAGTTCATTCAAAATTTGCCCTCTAAAACACTGTGGAATTAACACTCTCATACCCCACAACACACATCCCTGTTCTACTGATAATTGACATCTCCTTAAATGATACGGTTGAAAGTCTAAGGATGGACAAATCTCTGGCCATCCATTTAGTGTATACTCCAGGACTCTTCCTAATACAACATCTTTCCTAGTTTCATGAGCAATCATTCCGGAGGTGACTGGAAAATCTTCTGCTATCATGGTTACAGCATAAACCTTAGGCTCTACTCCATCATTTGATCCACTACATGGCAACCTTGACAAAGTATCTGCATTGGAATGATCATCTGAAAGTCTGTACTGTATCTCATAGTCATATGCCGACAATATCACAGCCCATCTCTGCATTCTTGCTGCAGCAAGTGTAGGAACAGGTGATTTAGGACCCAAAATTGCCAAGAGAGGCTTGTTATCAGTTATTAAAACAAAATTCCTCCCATATACAGTAGATACTGGTGAAATTTCTTTACTCCAAATATGATAGACAAAGCCTCTTTCTCTATTTGTGCAAAATTTTTCTCTCTTTGGGTAAGAGTTCTCGAGGCATATGCAATGGGTCTTTCTTCACCGTTATCCATTATCTGACTTATGACAGCACCTAATCCATAGCCCGATGCATCACAAGCAAGCTTTAGTGTTCTACTGGTATCATAGTGGACCAAAACATCAGTACTAGACAGAGCAGCTTTACAATCTTCAAATGACTTCTGAGTTGCACTGTTCCATTTCCATGATATCCCTTTCTTTAATAGTTCATGCAGAGGGGCTAAAACTGATGAAAGTCCACTCAAGAACCTTGAATAATACTGTATCATACCTAGGAAAGCTTTCAATTCACTGACATTTTTTGGAGCAGGTAAATTTACTATGGCTCCTACTTTATCTTCTACAGGTCTCAGCCCTTCTGCATTCACTTTGTAGCCAAGATAAGTTACTTCTTTAGCTAGGAATGAACATTTGCTCTTGTTGAGCCTGACATTGTGTGCCAACAATCTTTCGAATACTGTGGCTAGGGTTTTGACATGATTTTGGATGTCACTGTCAGGAATCATCCTGAACATGACACTGTCAACAATAAGGACATCATCCTGAAAACATAACACATTGGGAAGACCCACAAGAATTTTGTCCATGATGCACAGAAATAACTTTGGTGCACTTTTAACACCACAAGGCAACCTTTTGAACTTATACAATCCTTTATGAGTGTTGATGGTAAGGTACTGTTGACTTTCAGCATCAACAGAGACATGAGCATATGCTTGGGACAAGTCTAACTTAGTGAAAATGGTTCCACCTGTTAGTGAAGCAAACAAATCTTGAGATGTGGGTAAGGGATATTGCTCATCCTCAACAGCTTGATTAATGGTAACTTTATAATCACCACATAGTCTAACAGGTTTATTAGCTTTAGGTACAATTACTATTGGAGCAGCCCAATTGCTCTTGGCGGTTTTCACAATAATGCCCTCACTCACAAGTCTGTCTAATTCCTTCTCAACCTCACCTTTCAATGCATAAGGAACAGGTCTGGACTTAGCATATATGGGTGTAACATCTTTGTCAATGGTGATATGAGCTTCATAACCCTTTATACCATCCTGTCCCTTTACAAATAAAATCTTGTATTTTTCAAGCAATTTCTCAAGACCTGGAATACTGTTACACATTCTAACACTAAATATCTCCTTCCAGTCCATCTCAAGTTCACACAACCAGTTCTTACCTAACAAAGTTGGTCTATTCACATAACTAGCTATAATTAATGGCAACTTTAAATTCTGATTTTTGTACTTTACCTCACACTCTAATTTACCTTCTGTGTTCAAAATCTCTCCAGTATAAGTTCTCAACTTGACACCTGAGTCTTCTAAAGGCACATGCGCAAATAGTTTGTCATACATATCTTTACTCATTATGAAGAAATCAGCTGCAGTATCCATTTCCATGGTTACAGGTGTGTCATTAATACACAAGTCCACATTATACCTATGTTTAACTTTCTCTTCACGACTGGTGTAAATAGTAAACACATGGGCACTCTCATCATTATCAGATCCAAAATTACTAACACTCTCATGAATACTGTTTTTCATTTCCTTCTCTTCATCTTCAACGGCATATACTCTACCTTTATCACTTCGACAGGCAGGAGCAATATGTCCAATACGTCGACAATTGTAACATTTTGAATTCTTGAACTTACACTGAAAGCTTTCATGTTTCCCTCGGCACCTCTTACATTTTAAATCAGCATGTGTTCCTTGTTTTGTGGTATAATTATTCCTTTTAGCTACAGTTACTTTACACACTGAGCCACTACTGCCAACTGTTTCACTACCAGCATTGGCAACAAATTCTTTGGTGTTTTTCTCGGCCAATTCCATGCTTGTAGCTATCTGACATGCACTTTCAAAAGTTAAGTTAGTGGTGTTCATTAACTTATTCTGTATTTTTTCATAATTCAGGCCTATTACAAACCTGTCTCTTAGAGCTCGATTCAAGAACTGTCCAAAGTTACAGTGAATGAATAACTTCTTCAAATTACTTACTTACTGATTCATCTTTACCTCTATCTCTGGTGCCAAATCTCTAACTTTCAGCGATCTCAAGTGGAGCAGGGTCAAAATGTTGCTTCAGAATCTTGGTAATCTGAATCAGTGAGGAGTCCTTGGGTTTGTTTGGAGTAAGCAGATTGACCAGAGTAGAATAAACATTAGCTCCTACCTCTGTCAAAAAGATTGCTTTTATTTTCTCTTGAAGGGCTTTCTTCTTCTGAGCATCACCACCGTCGTCCATTAATTCATTTGCCAGAAAGAAGAAGTCCATTCTCTCACAATATGATGTGAAATCTTCCTTGTCTGCATCATACTCCCCCAGTCGTCCGATGTATCCACTGACGCCAGCCATGGTTGCTCTCTTCACTTAAATTCTCCAGGTTCAGAATAACCTTCCCTTCAGTGGTCACTATCCTCTCTTCAAGGACTTCACCAACACTTTGTGAATCCCATCCTCATCGCCAGTGTAGTATCTTGCGTTATTTAATGGGAGAATGACAAGCACGTGGTCGGTCTGGCTGGGCGTTTATTCTCTGTTCTTAGTTACAACGTGCCTAACACATTTCGTGTTTACACAAGCCTAAACACTTTCTGACTTTGGTAAGAAGTAACATAAGATATAATATATTTATTCAATAAAGGCAGCATATAAACATACATATATATAACAACTATCACTAGCAAGGGAGTTTTCATATCTTCACGTCTTTCCTTTGAAAAGTTGTTGTATGCTGTCGAGATTAATAAGACTATGAATTATACTGAACGTCCCCCAGGGTAAAACAACGAAACATAAAAACTCTAACCACGAATTTTCAATAGAGCAAATAAAGTTTTTATTCTGGATAATTACTCATATTTTTTCACATTACATGTACTCTTTCCAAAATAAATTTGAAGTTTCTGCAACCCCATTTTCTGTGTTGGTGACGCTTACAGGTGTGATAGCAAGTAACGGGTCTCTGTGGCGTAATAACCGGCGCTTCGCTCTGCGTCAACTGCGAGACCTGGGAATGGGTAAGTCCAAGCTGGTGGCAGCCGTGCAGCGGTCGGGCACACAGCTGGTGCAGCAGCTCAAGAAACAAGCTGGAAGACCTGCACCGATGCCTCACGCCCTTCATGTCGCTGTTGTTAACGTCATCTGGCAGATGGTCGGCGGTGAGTAATCGCTGGGTATGTTCATGTGAATATCTCTTTACACGTCCCACTAAACTTAAAATTTTCATGTCTTTGGGAAGTTTTTATTTGTGAAAAATGATATGCCTTGTGAGTCTTGGAATGACAATTTACAATATACTGTTGGTAGGGGTTGGGTTTGTAAAACTAGTACCCAGATGAAATGATATATATATATATATATATATATATATATATATATATATATATATATATATATATATATATATATACAGTATATATATATATATATATATATATATATATATATATATATATATATATATATATATATATATATATATATATATATATATATATATATATATATATATATATATATATATATCACAGTGATGTGCTTGCATATATATATATATATATATATATATATATATATATATATATATATATATATATATATATATATATATATATATATATATATATATATATATATATATATATATATATATATATAAGATTATTGATGTCTGAAACCGAACAAAATAATCATCAAATGGCATAATGGCCTGATATCATCAGAGCCCAATCAGCATGCGCATACATAAGACCCAAAATTATATGAGAACGAGGAGCCACTCATGACTTGACAGGGGGAAGGTTTACCAACTAGGTGTTTATTCTTTACTCTTGAATTCATAAGTCACGGGTGCTTCCTCCACAATACCTTAACCGTGCACACTGGCACTGGCCCAGAATACACCACATGCATAACACCAAATAAATTCTTTAGCACCCCCACAACCGAGTGTAAGATCAACCATGAAGGTCGTCGACCTCACACCAGGACTTGGTTAAGCAGCCCACATACACCCATAGTTGAAGAGAATGGAAGGCACTTAGTAGACTCAGCACAGCTACTCAGAAGTAATTAGTTACTCTCCTGACTCCCGTGACTTGTCTTGAGAGTGAGAGTGACAGAGGTAATCCTGTCCGTGTGTCAGCTCACCATACAATCAGGTGTACTCGACCCCAGTCAGAAAGAGAATAATTTTCTTTCACACTATCCAGTTTTATCACCACACATTGCAACACCTCACCACGCCAGGATTTGAACCCACGTTCTTATAATTGTGACCGGGGAACGCTACCTCTGGGCCACCAGGACACTAAAAGCAGTTCTAGACTCTGTTATATTTCACATAAAGCCTGTTCAACGAGCTTATGGCGCCGTGAACCTCAAATGGGGACCACCCGTGCCTCTTAGGTGATCAGAGCAACGTTTTACCAAATCCGGCTTCGAAACACGAAGATCTATATATATTTCGTGTAATAAAAGCACCTTGGTTTTATTGGGCTAATGGCATATATATATATATATATATATATATATATATATATATATATATATATATATATATATATATATATATATATATATATTTATATATATATATATATATATATATATATATATATATTTATATATATATATATATATATATATATATATATATATATATATATATATATATATATATATTATATATATAAAGCAAGCCGGACACCACATGCAATCAGCACCTCAGCCCGCCAGGATTCAGACCCACGTCCACAAACCCTTGACTGTGACACCAGAACCTTGCTACCTGCTAGACCACCAGGATACCGAAAGCAGTTCTAGACTCTGTTATATTTCACAAAGCCTGTTCAACGTAAAAGGCACGGGTGGTCCCCCATTTGAGGTTCACGCCATAAAAGCTCGTTGAACAGGCTTTAGTGTGAAATATAACAGAGTCTGGGACTGCTTTTTTAGTGTCTGATTTTTTTATTGTCTTTTGTAGCCCGTGTCTTTTTGTTTGAATATGTGTTGGTGGGTGTCAGTTTTACTTGGTATATGTGCGTGTTGTATGTAATGGAAAGGTTTGTGATATGTCTCTCATGTTGTATGTTTTAATTTTTGTTTTATTCATATTTATTTGCTTTGGGGCATGGTTACATACATATTATAAATATAAAAAGAGTTCATGCGTGTGTCATTCACAACATGCCGATAAGACGGGTCTCCTTGAGGAAGATTATTACAGCGTCACTTATGGTGACATCATCTTGCAATATATTGGGTACAGTCAGCACGAAGCCTCGCTCGGCAGCTAGCATCACCAGCTGCCGGCGTTCTGGTTCGTACTGGCTGCACTCCGTCAGAATGTGTCGGATAGAAAGAATTTTGTTGCACGTGGCACAGATAGGTGGAAAGGAGTTGTCTAAATAGGCTTTTAGGTGGGTCAAATGGGTACAGTTCAACCTTAGTCTGGCGAGAACCACCTCTTCCCTCCTATTCTTTCTGTATGCTGAAAGCCAGTTTCCTATGTTAGTCTTCCAGTTGTTGTGAAGATCTAACCTCGTCCAATCAAGTTGCCACTTCCCTGTTGTATATGTCTTCCCCAAGGAGAGACACGACTGACGCTCCCAGGGTACATTGGTTGTCTCCCTGAGACCCAGAGTCGCTTTTGCTAGTTTGTCTGCCTGTTCATTGCCCCGAATGTTGCAATGCCCAGGCACCCATATCAGCACAATATTCTTGGCACACTCGTGTAGTTTATTAATAATGTTGCCCTGTATCTCATTGCTGGTAGTGTCACCACCTTGAATTGCTTTAAGAGCTGACATAGAATCTGAAATGATAGCAACATCATTGACATCGCTTGTTATTGCAATGTCAATGGCTCTACTTATTGCAAACATCTCTGCAGTGAATATGGTTGTACGCCGCGGCAGGCGGGAGCTCCACTCCCCGTCTCTGCTCCAGATACCGGCTCCAACGTTGTCGTCAGTTCTGGACCCGTCTGTGTACACGTGAGTATACGCACTATATCCTTCTAGAAATTGATAGAAAAGTTGTTTAAGGAGCTCGGGATGTAGGTCATTCTTCCCTCCTGGAAGCCACGATGTTTCCACCTGGAAGTTGGGGCTCTCCCATGTCGGACACAACGGTGGAACATATCTATCAACGTCTTCGAAGTGGATACCAGCACCCTGGCACAAGGTCTGGAGGCGGACAACCGAGGACGGGGACCTACGCAGCTGCAGGAAACGGGATTCAGCAACAGCACACCAACCTGGGTGGCCTGTACCGCGCCTCCTAGCCGCACTCAACCCGTACCTTAGCGTCAACATGTCCCTCCTGATGTGGAGTGGAGGGACATGGGCCTCCACCTCTAGTTTTTCTATACGTGTACACCTGTAAGCACCCAGACATAGACGAAGGCATCGGTACTGTATTCTGGTCAGCTTTGCGAGTGTGGTGTCGCATGCAGAAGCATACAACTGGCATCCATAATCAAGTTTCGATCTGATCAGGGTCTTATACACCACTAATAAAGATTTCCTATCGGCTCCCCATGTAGTACCTGATAAAACTTTCAGGATGTTTGTGACTTTAAGATATCTACTTTCAAGCTCGTTAATGTGGTTTTTCTACGTTAATTTCCGGTCAAAATGAACACCGATGAATTTTACTGAAGTTTGAAATTTAATAGGAGTATCATTTAATTTTAATACTGGATTATTAATGTTACGTTTCTTAGTGAAGACTACTCCTACTGTCTTCTCAACTGAAAACCTAAATCCCCATTGTATTGCCCACTCTTCAGCGGCTTTTAGGCCGGCTTGCACCCTTTGTGCAGATAGTCTCTCGACCCGAGAGGAGCGCCAGATTGCGCAATCGTCAGCAAACAAGGAGAATTTGAGGTCACTTAAGCTGGGTGCTGGCGATAGGAAATCATTAATCATTATGAGAAATAATATTGGGCCCAAAACGCTGCCTTGTGGAACTCCGTTTTCTAGGACAAATGTGTCTGACTTTAAGTTATCTTTTAATTTGACGGAAAAAGTTCTGTCTTGCAAAAAATTTCTAATGAAAATTGGCAAATTACCTCTCGGACCCAAGGCGTGGAGCTTCATCATGAGGCCAGTCCGCCATATCATGTCGAAAGCTTTTTCTATGTCTAGGAATACTGCAATTAGTGTTTCTTTACTGCAAAGAGCCTTTGAGATGTTAGTTTCAAGACTTATTAAATGGTCTAGTGTGGTTCTAGTGCGGAAACCACACTGTCGATCACTCAATAAGTTGTTACTTTCCAAAAAATACATTAGCCTACGTTTTATCATACATTCCATGACCTTACACAGACAGTTTGTGAGCGAAATCGGACGGAATGAGTTGGTTAGTAGGGCATTTGTCCCTCTTTGGGATCGGTACGACATGGGCAAAGTGCCATGAGTTTGGAAACGTTCTGGACGTCCAGATCTCATTGAACACTTCTAGCAATTTGTCCAGGTTTCCCTGGTTAAGGTGCCTAATCATCTCGTATCGTATACCGTCAGGTCCAGGATTAGAGCCCTTGCCCTTTTTTAAAGCAAAAGAAAGTTCCTCTGGGGAAAATGCTCGATTGTAGTCTTGTTCGACCCCGTTCTCGAAGTCGAGATGCACGAGCTCGGCACGATCACTGAACACGCCGAAGCGTGGATCATGATTGGTGGAGCTACTGGCATCTGCGAACTTCTGGCCTAGGGTGTTGGCAATGGCCTGGGGTTCGTCGAGAAGCCTCCCTCCACTACTCACCTGTGGGATAAAAGTCCTTCCTCTGTTTGATCTGACCCGGTTTATAGCCGACCATACCTCAGAGGAAGGGGTATCCTTGTTAATAGTGGAGACGAATGCCCGCCAAGACTCTCTCTTGCACTCCCCGAGAACCTTCGTAGCCTTAGCTCTAGCTTTTTTATATTCTATGAGGTTTTCAATTGATGGAGCTCTGTTGAATTTACGGCATCGCCTATTGCGTTTCGGTCTGCAGTAGGGCTTGACTGGCACAGTTACTCGCGCCAGTTGAGCCTCCTTGGGTAAGGTTGTATGGTGTCCGATGAGGGCAGTGGTGTCGGGCAGCTTCTTCACAACTTGGAGTTGCCCCTTGAGGAGCTCACTCAGCTCTGCTTGGTCCACGCGGGCAATTTCGGCGTGGGAGATTACTCCCAGCTTCAGGTTGT